TCCAAGTTTTGTGAGGAATTTGATGTTAGCACGTTGTTCTGCATTAGCACTCAGCATTATTCCGACGGAGCTCAGAAACACGATCCGCTTCTAACAATGGTCGCGGCCAGACTAACCGATGCACGTGAATGAAATTTTGTGTGACGGTAGAGGGAAGTCCAAGGGTCAATGCCCTACCCTCCTCTTCGTCAATGACGTGGCCGGAAATGAGTCATAAAAGTAATCCGGGTTCTTTATTGCCACACCTTGTATACAACACTATCATTTTGCCTGTGGTTCTGTATGGGTGTCAAACTTGGTCTCTGACATTAAGGGAGGAACATAGACTGAGGGTGTTTGAGAACAGGGTGTGGAGGAGAACATTTGGACCAAAGAGAGATGAAGTGACAGGAGGCTGGAGAAAACTGCATAATGAGGAGCTTCATAGCTTGTATTCTTCTCCAAGTATAAATAGAATGATCAAGTCAAGGAGGATGAGGTGGGCAGGTCATGTAGCACGAATGGGGGGAGACGAGGAATGCGTATAGGATATTGGTGGGAAAGCCAGAAGGAAAGAGACCACTGGGAAGGCCAAGGCGTAGGTGGGTGGACAATATTAAAATGGATCTTAGAGAGACAGGATGGGATGTGTGGATTGGATTTACATGGCTCAGGATAGGGACCTTATGAACATGGTAATGAACCTTCAGGTTCCATAAAATGCTGGGAAATTCTTGAGTAGCTGCAGAATTGGCTGTTCCTCCAGAAGGGCTCAGCTCCATGAGTATGTAAGTAAGTACAACTTTACCTTACCACATAGTTAACTGTGATAAGTATCCTGTTAGTGAGATAGTGTACTGTTTGGACTTTCCTCCTCCTTCTTGTCCCACCTCACCTGTTGTTTCTTAAACTTTTCTTTCCTCATGAAGGGTAAGAGGTAGTTGTGCCGTAATTTGAGGTACTGTTCCAGCCTTTTGCGTGGAAGGACCGAAGATAACCATGAAACTTTTCAGTCAAGATAGTCTGTGTCCTGGCTAAGATTCAAACTGGATACTTTCTAAATACAAGTCAGTCATTTTGCTTGGTGTGGAATTTGTAATAAGATATATACTGTGTGTGTTCTGTTTTGTCATTTCAGATGATGTTGTATTAGGCTTGACAACTACTGGTACTGTGAAAGTGTGGACTCTCTTTGGACAGGAAACAAAGAACTCAGAGCCGTTTTATGAGAATGAGAGCAAACAGATTCGTTGTCTCAATGCTCTTAGCATGACATGTTGTGCATATAATCAACGTACTGTGCTCATTGTTTGTTCCAAGTATTGGCAGGTATTTTCAATTCATTGTGCATAAAAAATACAAAATTTACTTACTGTAAAATATAAAATGTATGTTCATTACATTCAAACAACATGTGAAGTATAAATTCTGAGGTTTATGAGGCCATGTAGCCTTGTAGATGGTCACAGATATTTTGGGAACAGAATGACCCCCTGGAACATTGGTCTCCACCTCCAAAATTACACACCCTGACAATCCAGAAAACAACAGTCAGAAGATAAATATTTGATCATTTTCAGTAGTGCCATTACAGTTTCTCTTTTCAGATTTATGATGCTGGAGATTTCTCAGTATTATGTTCTGTTATATCTCCACGAGGTGAACGCTGGTTAGGTGGAGACTTTCTGGCTGCTGATCGTGTTGTTGTTTGGAGTGATGAAGGGCGAGGGTATATGTATAAGCTGCCAGCAAAGTAAGTCATATTTATCACTTTCATTATATGGTTCATGTTCATTAGTGAACTTGCCTGATAACTTGTATAGTTACATATTGTCCCTGGTAATGGTTAAGTATTAACATCTATAGTGTTAACATTGGGACTGGTATAACTGTTTCTATAATTAGGATCTGTTTAAAATTAACACATTCAAGTAAGCTTTATTCCAACAACTGCTCTAAGAAAAGTGTCGAACTATGATTAGAGAGATTTTAAAGATTGTTTTGAATTTGTACATAATTATGCTGTAATACTTGTATTCAGGGGTTCCAACCAAGCTGTTGTTTCTGATTCTGAAAGTTTATATATCTTGGAACAAGTCTGTTAATGTGACTTTTCATACCATAGGCAATTCACTTAGATAATGCAAATAATTTTATTAAAGCAGTTTCACAGTTCACAGGAATGAGATTGATTATGGAATTAAGTTAATAAATTCAGAAAATAAATGTTATTTATTCAGTTACTATCATACTGTTCACTTTTCTGAACATTACAGTCTCAGAGTGACATGTTCTGTTTGTTTTCAGTCAAGGAAACAAATCATTAGGTAACCATCACACAAAAAACAACCATGTATATCTTTATAATAGAATTTTGTTCTTTGGTGTCTGTTTCTGCCTTTTTCCAGTCATCAGGTTAAATGAATACATATTGCATTTGCAGTAACCCGTTACAGCACAGCAGCTAAATGGAATCAGTTATTATGCTATCACTGATACCTTCCTTTGTCACCTTGACTGTCATCCTTCTGCAGCCTCATTTCTTCTGTTTTTCTTATGATAACAGTTTTTTATTAGATATAGAGCACAGAAAGTTTCATGTGATACTACAGCTATTCAGTACGTCTTGCACATAGAAATGTTTTAGAAGCTACATTTTCAGAAGTAGATAATCATTTGGCTCCTGCATCTAAGCCATTGGCAGATACTTTTAATGCCCACTGTAACTGGTATCAAGTTTTTAAATAAGTAAATATTTTGTTGCATTGAAGCATAATTAGTCCAAGACAGTTTATGTGGTTGCATACTCACAAAGCTACAATGTGATCATATTAGAGCTTTCTTCAAATTGTTGAGCAATTCAGGCAGAATAGTTTAATGTTCTTACTATGAAGTTGAACCATGCAGATTCAGAATGCTTGAAGCTCTCTGCTGTGAGCCAAAAGGTCATGGGTTCAATTCCTGATGAGGTCATTGCATTTTTTAAATTTACCTAATCCTAGCTGCACTATGGCCCAGGGGTCAACTCATCCTCTGACAGGAATGAGTAGCAGGAATCTTCCTGGTAGAAAAGGGTGACTGGCACATAAGGCTGACAGCCCCACCACCATCTGTGAGCCGATTATCTAGAAAAGGTGGGAGCCTCGACGTCTGACAACCCTGGGGGCCTCCATGGCCTGTTACAGGGATAGCTTTATCTTCTTTTTTAACCTTTTTAACAACTATCAAACCTATAGCGAACATGCTACAAATAAAACTTACCCAAGTTGCAGCTGATGCTAGAAATGCTCTCTTGTTATTGTCAGGAGACTGTTTAGGATAGTCACTGATTTTATCAATACTGGACTCCCCAAAAACTGAATCACCTACTGCAGACTGAAAGTAAATTGGATGAAAATTGATACTAGACTTGAACATTTTTGAAAATCCCACAGACACCTTGCACAGGAAATCAAGGTTTTGGGTTTCAAGTTTATTCTGCTCCCAAAAAGGAACTTCAAACCATGAACACAAACTTTCTGTGGAGATGCCAAGAATGCATGCTTTATAACAGAGCATTTCACTCCCTTCGATAATGTGGTTAAATTTCATTTGTAATTTGTTTGCCCATATGCTTATCAGTCCAGTAACAATAACATTGTTGTGACCTGAATAAAGAGGACTCTTCCTCTTGAGGTGCTCAGTGGTTTACAGACAGCTCTAAGATGAAAACAATATTTCCAATAGGACATGTATAGTTTCGGATATTAGTGATATTGTAGCTCATAATAATATCTATGGGGAATCTTTCCAGACTTATTAATTAATGTTAGGCAGTCCTAGAAAGGAAGTATTTACAGGGTGGGTGAATTTTTCGTGATAAATAACTTTTGTTCTGATGACTGTGGAATCTGTTATTGTCCACCATGCGGCTAACAGTACAAATCTTGATTACAAGTGGAAATATTTTTGCTACACTTTCAGTAAGCAAATAAACCAATATGTTAATGAGTTAAGATATTGAGCTTGTCCTTTCGTACTAATGTTATTTGTACAAAACTGATCCAGTGTATGTAATCAGTGTATTGCGTGGTGAACTTAATGTGACTCTTTCGTCTTTAAGGCCATAGATCAACAGCACAATTAGACTTGTGTTCAGGAAGTTCAATAGCTTATGTAGGTAAATGACACAACATTTTAGTCACATGGCATTTAAAATTAGTAAAAACCAACAATGGCATGAAAGATGGAGGAGGTTCAGCTGTTTTCGCTATATGCATAGCAAAACATATTAGCTTAATTTAGGGAAGGACTGAAGTGAGAAAACAGAATTGAGAACAAAATAACAATTTCTTTAACTTCTCTCTTGTCAAAGTACTTTTGACATATTCAGAATAGGTTGTCGTCACAACCAGGACTGTATGTATTACATAGCCAAAATTGTATTTTCAGAAGTAAAACACTTTCATTTCTTCACCTGTCACAACTTCAATTAGTGCTAGTCCTTTATTCATGCAATTTTATTAACTAAAGATGAGTTCATCTACATGAAGAACTTTCAAATGTATTTTGAGTGGAAATGGTAGTAAAAGCTAGCTTTTCATTATTACTTAATGTCAGCTGTGAGGTAGGTTTCGCTAAATTATTATTCTGTCTTATGCCAGGAAGTAATTATATGAATTCATAATTGCTTTAAGCATGATTTGATTGCAAGACACATAGTTATTTCTGATTCCAGTTATATTATTGCATCTGCATGTGTATTTCTTTTTACTTCAGCCAGTTTGTATAAGATGCTTGGTCCATTATATGGCTATTTGCCATAAACATAATAACAAAATGAGCCCAAATTGTTAAATGTGGTTAGAGATATGTGAATAAAATGTGCAGTGGCTAATAAAATTCACTTTATATTTGGTGTGATGTTTGGGAGCTCATGTGAAACAGTTTTAATTTATTGCATTCTCATCTTGACATTGGCATGAATTTCAGTGTAAGAAGTTGGTTGAAGTAAAATAATAGGATGTAACCTCACGGTTTTCGTATCGGAACTACTGCACTAGTCCTCTAATAGAGAGGATGTAATGTGAGTCCAGATTTGCATAGTAAAAATGTGGGGATAGATTCCCTATGCTCTCGAACTCACTGTTACAGATCTAATGCCAAATGTATCTAAATGGCTCACACATAAAAAATGGAGAACGGGGTGTTATTTTGACTGAGGTTGAGATTTGTGCTTAATTAACCAAGTGATTTAGCATTCACTTCATTTGTGAAGGAGCTAGAAATATCAAGCTCATGCTGTTGCCTACTCCTGGCTCTCTAGTTGAAACATTTGGACTCTGTATATATATATAGGTAACAAGAACTGATGTTGTTCAGTCAAACTGCAGGGTGGACAACTGGAACACTAGTGTTCAGTTCCCAGTAGGGTCAGACATTTCTTTCTTCACTGTTTTTGTACTGGATGTGAGCCCACTCAGTCACCTATCGACTGGATATGAAGGGCTCCTTTCCTGGGTGTCATGCATCTGGGGCTTGAAGCTCATTTTGATCAATTGGTGAGGTTAAGAATGTGTGGAGCCATACCTCCATTCCCCATCCATCTTCAAGGCATGGTGCATGGACAGTTTTACTTTTATCTTTATGATGGGTGATCTATTATTACAAGGGAATGTGCAAACTACTGCTGCAGAGAGCGTTGAGGTTCTTATAGTGGTGGCTGTGAAGAGCTTCATGTTCTGGGAAATAACAATGTGCAGTCTGTAGAAAGTCAAAGTCAACTGACATTTTGGAGGAGCAAGTCGCCTGCATCTTCAGGTTGAAAATTAAGCCAAGCAGGAGACTAGAATGAAGATGGGGTGACATGTTCCTCTAAATTGTTGGTTGACTTTCAGTGGTAGTTACTATAGGATTCTGACGATGGTGTAAAACACACTGATATATTGGGTTTTTGGACTTTATCAATCGTCCTGGTTTTTATGATAACTAATAAAAACACTATTATTAGTTATCTTAAAAACCAGGACGATGGATAAAGTCCAAAAACCCAATATATCAGTGGACTTTCAGTGGACTATGTGGCGTTATATCCCAGAAGATGGAGCTCTTGATTAACAGAATACTTGCACCATCACGTTTGTTCTTGCTTAGCAAACAGATTGTTTCATAGCTCAGCCATCACTAGACCATAAGCCACAGCCAGAAAACTTGCAGAGATAAATTCATGTTAAACAAGTATTACAAAAGGGCTAAGTGTGCTTGATTTTAGTAGCTCTCAGTTGCGTGACTTACTTATTTTATGATGTATTATGTTTCATGAGTTCTGAGGTTCTCGTGGTGCTGAATATTCTGGCACGTGATACCATATAATTTGATAGATAGGTACCAATGTTTTAGGGGAACCCATTTACCAAACTGCACTGCATCCTATTCCAGAAGACCAAACATGTAAGTGAATGAGTATGTTACCCTAGTTCAATGCCCCCCCCCCCAAACCAGTCATTCCCAAAGGGCATGATGTTGTATACACTGTTACAACTTTTTTCTAATTGATATATTTTTCTTAAATTTGATGTGTATTCACCACAGTTCCCTGTATTTGTTGACATTGTGGCTCCTCTCAAAGCAGCTGCCTCTGTGGATAGAGGCCTTGAAAAGGAACAGTTTCCTTTCTTTCACTCTTTCATGGATTTATGGGCAGTGTATACCTTCAAGGTTTTTGATGGTACTGATTTTTTTTTCTGACCCAGCCGTTTGCTATGACTTATTTGC